ACCCAGAATGCAGTCAAGGTGCAGTGGGTCATGCCTGTAATCCTAGCACTTTAGGATGCCAAGTTTGGAGGACTGTTAGAACTGAGGAGTCTGAGACCAGCCTGGGCACCATAGTGAGACTCTGCCTCTACAAAAATTTTTTTGACCGGACAAGATGGCTCACGCTTGTAATCCCAGCACTTTGGGAGGCCAAGGCGGGTGGACCACGAGGTCAGGAGTTCAAGACCAGCCGGGCCAAGATGGTGAAACCCGTCTCTACTAAAAATACAAAAATTAGCCGGGCACGGTGTCAGGAGCCTGTAATTCCAGCTACTCGGGAGGCTGAGGCGAGGGAATCACTTGAACCAGAGTGGTAGAGGTGGCAGTGAGCCAAGATCAAACCACTGCACTCTAGCCTGGGTAACAGAGTAAGACTGTCTTAAAAAAAAAAAAAAAAAGTTTTTTTTTAAATAGGCTGGGCCCAGTGGCATGTGTCTCTAGTCCCAGCTACTAGGATGACTGAGGCAGGTGCACTGCTGGAGCCCAGGAGGTAGAGGCTGCAGTGAGCTATGATTGTGCCACTGCACCCCAGCCTGGGCAACAGAGTGAGACCTGACCCCACCATACACACCACCACCTCCGCCCTGCAAAGAAAAAAACAACTGGAAAAGGGCTCAGCAGTTATATATCCCTCCTTGAACTACATGCTCTTCATCTTAGGTGGGAGAGGGAGCTTGGAGTTCACACATTTCCAGGGTTCATTTACCCTCCTCTGATCTCAGAGTAGGAGTCAAACCAAAAAGTTACCCAAACCTGTTCTTTTCTGATACTGTCCGAATACATGCTTGCTGACTTTCATATTCTTCCCCCAAATCACTCATTTACAGACGAGACTGAAGCTAATGAAAACAGAAGCGATTAGAAAGAATGGCCTGACATTTCTATTATTGTCCTAGAGATAACAGATTAGTGACAGGAAGTAATCTAGGCTGGAAGATCTCTGATATGGCCACCATAAATTCTCTGACATCTGGAAAAAAAAAGTCTGAAAACCCTGAAATACTATAGTGACAAGATACCTACAACTATCTCCATTTTTTTTAAATATGTAAGAGGGCATATTCAGAGGTACAGCAAAATATGACAGGATACAAAATACTGAAAATTAAGAGCTACCTACCTGAATTCTGATGGGTTTTTTTTTGTACTCCTATCCAATCTTCTAATACCTCAAAATGCATAAAAATCTCAATTAATAATACGCCATTTCTGTGCCATCATTCAATACAAATCATGAAAGAGTAACTATTTCAGATTTGATTTTTCTGACTTGAGCTAATGATCCTCCTCCCTTTCCTAAATATTTACAATGTTTGAGAACTGAACAGTCACTCTTCGACATTCCTAAGCGAAATGTTAACACTCACACTCAGTATGACACTATAAAATGTGAAGTCCAAATTTCATTTTAAATCTCTAATTACCAACCAAGGAAGCTCATTTCCCCAAACAATTTTGTGAATGCCAGTGCCAGACTATCCAAGTTTCTGGAGACTTAACACTATCGGTACCTTTCATAGGCAGAAGTGCTCTCTAGAAATGGCGCACCCAACTGTTATTTCAGTCTCAAGAATCACATCCTTGGCCGGGAGCAGTGGCTCATGCCTGCAATCAGAGCACTTTGGGAGACTGAGGCAGATGGATCACCTGAGGTCAGTAGTTCAAGACCAATCTGGTCAACATGGTGAAACACCATCTCTACTAAAACTACAAAAATTAGCCTGACCTGATGGTGGGTGCCTGTAATCCCAGCTACTCAGGAGGCTGAGGTGGGAGAATCACTTGAACCTGGGAGGCAGAAGTTGCAGTGAGCCCAGATTGTTCCATTGCACTCCGGCCTGTGCGACAGAGCGAGACTCTGTCTCAAAAAAGAAAAAAAGTCACATCCTCATTTTGTTGTCTCTCTCCCATACCTACTTAAAGTGTGACAAAACTGTAATAAGAGTAACTGTGTTCTGGATACACAGCAGGCAAGTTACTAGAAAATGCCAGAGATAAAGACCAATCACAGCAATGCTTTAAGAGACCCAGAGTACAAAAGGGGTTCTGAGTGAGCCTCTAAACATAGCATGTTAACAAGCTTAAGTATATACTGGTAGGGGCCAGCAAATTAAAGCTAGCTGTAACACCTAAAGATATGTCCCAGTCACAGGGGCTCCTTATGTGCAGACCTCAACCTCACATTCTGCTTCAGAAACCTCTCTCAGACAAGTGGCAGATGAAAGGTCCCCTCCTCAAAAAGAACAACATACACGCTACCAATTCATTTGCATTAATAAATCTTTGGTTTAAAATCCATTTAAGGCCCGGTACAGTGCAGTGGTTTATACGTGCAATCCCAGCACATTGGGAGGCCGAGGCAGGTAGATCACCTGAGGTCAGAAGCTCAAGACCAGACCGGCCAACAAGGTGAAACCCTGTTTCTACTAAAAATACAAAAATTAGCCAGGCATGATGGCGGGTGCCTGTAAACCCAGCTACTAAGGAGGCTGAGGTGGGAGAATGGCTCGAATCTGGGAGGCAGAAGTTGCATGAGCCAAGATTGAGCCATTGCACTCCAGCCTGGGCAACAGAGCGAGTTCTTGTCTTTTTTTAAAAAAAGTCATATCCTCATTTTGTTGTCTCTCTCCCACACCTTCTTAAAGTATGAGGAGCTCAGGAGTTCCAGATGGCCTGGGCAACCTGGTGAAACCCTGTCTCTACAAAAATGCAAAAATCAGCCAGGCATTGGTGGCTTTCGCCTGTAGTCCCAGCTACTCGGGAGGCTGAGGTGAGAAGATCGCTTGAGCCTGGGAAGTGGAGGCTGCTATGAGCTGAGATCACACCACTGCACTCCAGCCCGGATGACAGTGAGACCCTGTCTCAAAAATAAAAAAATAACAATTAAAAAATAAAAAATAGGCTGGGCCCAGTGGCTCACACCTGTAATCCCAGCACTTTGGGAGCTGAGGTGGGCAAATCATCTGAGGTCGGGAGTTCGAGACCAGACTGACCAACACGGAGAAAACCCGTCTCTACTAAAATACAAAATTAGCTGGGCGTGGTGGCACACACCTGTAATCTCAGCTACTCGGAAGGCTGGGGCGGGAGAATTGTTTGAACCTGAGAGGTGGAGGTTGCAGTGAGCCAAGATCCCACCATTGCACTCCAGCCTGGGCAACAAGAGTGAAACTCTGTCTTAAAAAATAAAATAAAATCCATTTATACCCTGATAAAGTGTTTTTTTTTTCATCAGGCAGTCATACTTTGATACAAACTGGTTTAATGAGGACCAGCCTGCTTGCTAGGGGTACCAAAACCACTCTGGGAAACGTTTTGACTGGATAAACACTCTTCGGTGAGGGCTATAGTGAAGGATTTCTGACAGAGAGCAATGGGAATCAGTACCTAGGGGTCAAGGAAGAAGCACTTGGCTGGACACGGTGGCTATATTGCCTATAATCCCAGGACTTTGGGAGGCCAAGGCAGGAGGATCACCAGAGCCTAGGAGTTCGAGACCAGCCTGGGCAATAGTGAGACCCCGTCTCTACAGAAAATTTAAAATTAGCCATGCATGGAGGTGTGCACCTGTGGTCCCAAATACTGCGGACGCTGAGGTGGGAGGATTGTTTGAGCCCAGGAAGTGGAGGTTGTAATGAGCTGAGATCATACCACTACACTCCAGCCTGGGTGACAGAGCAAGATCTTGTCTCAAAAAAAAAAAAGAGGAAAAAAGCGCTACCAAAAATAAATGAAGAATATAGTAGCCAAAGTTTACCATAAAGTTTGCTAAAGACTCTGGAAGCCACAAATGCCAGAGGACTACTGTGACACCTTTAACTGGGTGTCTTTCAAACTGGGAGAGGATTAGCTTAATAGCTGAACACTGACTTTGGGTCAATGAACTTGGAATTATTTGCTCTGCTTCAGCTTACTGAAAATCTTTCAAAGGATAATAAATATTTTTATTTTAAAACCACTAATTTTAAGGGGAAACCTATTTTTAACCAAACACATTTAAAAAACACATATATTTTGTTGTTTCAGGCTTACCCAGAATAGTCCTAATCCTTTCAGCTGCAGAAGGCCCCCTATAATTCAGTCCCCCCTATAATTCAAAACCTCCCCCATTTTGAATGAATCCAAAACTATGAATGGTAGATCCTATGAAGTCCTAGGTATACTTTAGGTGATGAACAACTGAAGGCAGCAGCAGTTCCATGTTCAAGAGCATGACACACACATATAAAGCATATTTATAGTGCCACTTTTCCAGCTCAGGAAAACACACACTATTAGACATCCTCAATTTCCTTGCCTATAAACCATGCCTCTAATTCTTTGGAACAGGGAGTTACAATCACAGGTGGCTTTGAAACGGGTGAAATCTCCATCATCATTTCCTAACTGTTCTTTAAAAGCTTGTAATTTTCTTTTAAGTTTCAGCTTTAGGGGCTCACACTGACTCTCAGACTTCATAAACTTCCTTCCTGGATATATAACATGCTAATTCATGCGAACCGCTCAAAATTGTTTTAAAATCACATCTATGGATACCTTTGCAAGACCTCACGCCTGTACTCCCCACAATAACTAGTAAACCTCTGAAACAATCTACAACTTGCACTTGAGCAGACAAGAGAAAGGAAGTGATGGCTTTAAAGGGTCGCAGCTTTCCTGGGCTCCAAAGAGGCGCCCTCGTTCACTCCTGAGAGGCTCAAGAAGTTACCAGAAGCTCCCGCCAGAAGTGCGGGGCGGGGGGTGCGGACGTAGGTAAAGCAGAGAAGATAGGTGGACCGCCCTGGGAAGAACTGGGGTGCCGAAGCCTACAGGCGGGATGGAGTGGTAGGAGGTGAGGCAAAATTAAGCAGATACAGGAAGGAGCCAGTGGAGCGAAGAAAACAGGGCAGGCGTGAAGTAGAGCCCTAGAGGAATCGACGAATTCGGGACTCTGAGGGTTTCCGAGGGTCCAGTTCTCTCACCAGAAAGCCGCGTTCAGCCCCAGGCACCACAGAGCGCTCCTGGCTGGTCGCTCCCACACCAGGGCTGCCTGCACTCGACTCAGCAGAGGCTCGTAAGGCCCCAGCACCTCCACCAGGGCCCGCTGCGCCGCCTCAACCTGCTGGTCCCGCTTCCAGGAGCCTGACACATCTCGGCGGCCCCTGAAAGTCGACCCCGAAGCCGGGCCTGGGGTAGTAGCCACCCCCTCAGCCTCCGCCATCTCCCCCTGGCAGCCACAACATCCGGGTCTGTGGCCCGACAGTCACAATAACAGCAACTGCGCAGATGCGCGATTGGACTAGGGAGGTCTCTTCGCACCACAAAGCGCTTCCGCGCAGGCCCAAGTACGCGTCCACCCAGAGAGGAGGACGCTGCGTCAAAGTACAACGCCCGCGCGGAGGCGCCTTGCCCGAAGATGCGCACGCGCAATATGGATGAATGAAGGCCAATGCTTAAGGACGTGCCATTCACTGCCAGAACTCGGTTCTCATTGGAGCGGAGGAAGTCTGTGGGTGGAGCTGGTTGTTTGGCGCCTGCGTCTTGCGGCGAGCGGGCTGGCGTGCGGCGGTAGCTGCTGCAACGCCCGTGCCTGAGGAGCGATGCCGAGGGAAATCATCACCCTACAGTTGGGCCAGTGCGGCAATCAGAGTGAGCGAAACTCCGGCCCTTCAGCTAGCCCGGTTCCTTAGGGTTAATGGGATCTCGCTGTGGGATCCTGGACTCCATCTGTCCTTGCCAGAATTGTAGTTCTCTGAAAGGCGAGACATCCCTGATCCAATGTCCACTTGCCTTAACCCCGAGGGGCCCTCCCCTGCCCAGTCCCTGGCGTACAGTCCTTTCCTCAGACACGGGAGAGTCCTGCGGCTTGACTTCTTATCCCAGGACGCAGGCGCCTAGTCCCCCAGCTCGTGATTGGAACCTGCCCGGACCTAGATATCTTCTTTCTCCCCCACCCACCCCTTTCCCCCAGTTGGGTTCGAGTTCTGGAAACAGCTGTGCGCCGAGCATGGTATCAGCCCTGAGGGCATCGTGGAGGAGTTCGCCACCGAGGGCACTGACCGCAAGGACGTCTTTTTCTACCAGGTGCCCCCAGCAACTTGGCCAGGGGCGGCAGTGGCCCAAAGGGCCGGAAGGGAAGGGAGTGGCCTGGTACTGGAAGGGGAGCCCCACTGGGCAAAGGGGCCAGGCGGCTGGCTTGAGGAGGGAGGGCCCAGGGAGCCAGAGTTGGGAGGACTTAGGACTTGGGCCGCCTGGCTGATTGGTCTTCCTCCTGGACTCTCCTTGACAGGCAGATGATGAGCACTACATCCCCCGGGCCGTGCTGCTGGACCTGGAGCCCCGGGTGATCCACTCCATCCTCAACTCCCCCTACGCCAAGCTCTACAACCCAGAGAACATCTACCTGTCGGAGCATGGAGGAGGAGCTGGCAACAACTGGGCCAGTGGATTCTCCCAGGTTGTTTCCTGTTCCCTGGCAGGGCCCACAACTCCCTGTGTAGGGACAAGCCCTATGATGTCTCCAAGAGAAAGGAACCAGATCAGGGATATATGAATGCTGGAGGGAGAGACCTGGCTGCAGGAAGCGGACTATGTAATATTGTTAAGTGTCTGTACTAGCTAATGCAGTGTGCCAGGCCATTCTAAGTACTTTACATATATTAATTTTTTAAAATCTTCCAACAACCCTAGAAGTAAGTACTACAGGTCCACAGTCCCTTATCTGCTTTTCCAGGATCCAAAAAGCCATGAAACCAAAGGACATTTCCTAACTAGTTTAGCAGGAAAAACAAATCTCAATGAAGACAGGCTGTTTATAGTTTCTATCCAACTTATTATCTTCACTGATGATTTTTATTATAGAAATACTAATATGTTTGATTAATGTACTTCTGACTCCCACTGGAATTTTATTTAACCTATATTATATATACCATAATACCTTTCTAAAATCTGAAATATTTTGAATTCCAAAACATAACTGCCTCAACACTGTTAGATAAGGGTATATGGATCTGTATTATTACCTTCATTGTACAGATGAGGAAACTGAGGCATAGAGCAATTAAATAGGCTGCTCAGAGCTACACAGAAGGAGAGTCGATGGCCCAGGTATGGTGGCTCATGCCTGTAATCCCAGCACTTTGGGAGGCTGAGGCTGGTGGATCACCTGAGGTCAGGAGTTGAAGACCAGCCAGGCCAACATGATGAAACCCCATCTCTACTAAAAATACAAAAATTAGCTGGGCATGGTGACAAGTGCCTGTAATGCCAGCTACTCGGGAGGCTGAGGCAGGAGAATTGCTTGAACCCAGGAGACAGAGGTTGCTATGAGCTGAGATCACACCATTGCACTCCAGCCTGGGTGACAGAATGAGACTCCATCTCCAAAAAAAAAAAAAAAAAAATAGAGCTAACGTATGAACACAGGTAATCCGGGTTGTAGAGTGCTTTCTTGTAACCACTGCACCATACTGCCTCTCAGTGTAGATAAAAAGCAGGCAGCTATGCTCCATAAAAGGACTTCTGGTGCTATAAGGTAAGTCGAGGGTTGCTTTCCTGAAGTCAGAGTCCTTCCATGGTTCTGTCCCACTCTGACCCTCCCTATGTCTGTACAGGGAGAGAAGATCCACGAGGACATTTTTGACATCATAGACCGGGAAGCGGATGGTAGTGACAGTCTAGAGGTAAGTGTCCCAGGAATGCTGGTAGGAACTGACATAGGCAAGGCTTGGCAACACCCTCTAGAAGCGACCTATTAAGAACAAGACGCACTCATGTACCCTTTGCACTGGACAGAAGCTACCAGGCCTTGCTGGAAACAAGGCAGTCACCTAAGCTGTATGAGTGAGAGTACTGGAGGGAAAGGAAGGGCTCGGGAAAATGGGAGTCCTGAAAATTGTGAGATGGGTCTAGTTTGAAATCCTGCCACTAGATTCCTGGACACTGACTGCCCCTTTCCCATGCAGGGCTTTGTGTTGTGTCACTCCATTGCTGGGGGGACAGGCTCTGGCCTGGGCTCCTACCTCTTAGAACGGCTGAATGACAGGTAAGTTTGTGTTTGGGGATTAGGAAGGGTCACCAACTTGGCTTCCTAAATGACTAGGGGACCCAGTAGGTATAACTCCCTGTTTGCTGGGGCAGGAAAGAGTTCTTCTATTCCCTCCTATAGAGAGGAAAAAGAAGTTACAGTGACTGAGATCCCCATCACACTCCCAGTAGTGGGAACTGGAGCCTAGAATCTGAGCCCTGGATCAAAGTCCAGGGAGTGTGGAGTTGGAAGCCCAGATTCTAAGATGTCTCTGCCCTTCCCCCTGTAGGGTTACAGACTTCCAAAAGTCAAGTCTCCCTTTACTGATCTGACCCCACCCCAGTTTCGACATCAAAATTTAGCTGCTTCTGGACAGTTGTTAGGGAGCACCATGTTCACCACACCTTCAATCTGTTGCCCTGATCCTTTCCCCAACCCCCACCAGGTATCCTAAGAAGCTGGTGCAGACATACTCAGTGTTTCCCAACCAGGACGAGATGAGCGACGTGGTGGTCCAGCCTTATAATTCACTCCTCACACTCAAGAGGCTAACGCAGAACGCAGACTGTGTGGTGAGTCCTGGATTCTGCCTCTCAACTCTTAACACCCCACACCCCTTCAGGTCTATTAAATCATTTTCATGTATTTTTAAAAATCCGTTTTAGCCAGGTGCAGTGGCTCACACCTATAACCCCAGAACTTTGGGAGGCCAAGGTTGTTGGATCGCTTGAATCTTGGAGTTCAAGACCAGTCTGGGCAACATGGTGAAATCCCTATCTACTAAAAATACAAAAATTAGTCAGGCTTGGTAGTATGTGCCTTAGCTACTTGGGGGGCTGAGGCAGAAGGATCACTTAAGCCTCAGAAGCAGAGGTTGCAGTGAGCTGAGATCGTGCCACTGACTGCACTCCAGCCTGGTGACAAAGTGAGACCCTGTCTCAAAAAAAAAAAAAAAACTGTTTAAATAATTAAGAAGAAAAGAAAAATTAAAAAAACATCTTGAGGCCTCCTTTGCCCCTAGGTCAGTGTAAACTGCTTTCCAGTGGGTCTCTCTGGCCATGAGGCTCAAAGGAAATTAAGCTTCAGAGCCTAGGGTCAGGCAGAGTTCTTGTTTTTCCTATCCCGGTCAATCTGCTACCTTCTTCTGTCCCTGCAGGTGGTGCTGGACAACACAGCCCTGAACCGATTGCCACAGACCGCCTGCACATCCAGAACCCGTCCTTCTCCCAGATCAACCAGCTGGTGGGCCCCCACTGCTGGACTCCTTTGGACTGGAAGCCCTCCTTTCTGGAGGGTCATCTGGGGAAGGGAGGTCCCACTCAGGGCCGAGGCCTATGACATGGCACCCTGTCCCCAGGTGTCCACCATCATGTCGGCCAGCACCACCACCCTGCGCTACCCTGGCTACATGAACAATGACCTCATCGGCCTCATCGCCTCACTTATCCCCACTCCGCGGCTCCACTTCCTCATGACCGGCTATACCCCGCTCACTACGGACCAGTCAGTAAGAGCAGCCTCAGTGTCCCAGGCCAGGCCAGCCCTGGGCCCAGCAGGCTCTGCCTTAGCCTTTCTCTCCTCTCCTCTGCCCCAGGAGCTGCCCTTTGCGTGCCCCGAGGCACTGCGCTCAGGGACTAGCACAGAGCAGGCCACCACTTTCTTGTAACTTGCCCTTTACCCTCCCTCTACCTTTAGCTTCTGCCAAAGAGAAGCCAAAGGGGGACTGTGTCTGAGCCCTGGCTGGGTCCCCCGTTCACTGTCCATCAGGTGGCCAGCGTGAGGAAGACCACGGTCCTGGATGTCATGAGGCGGCTCCTGCAGCCCAAGAATGTGATGGTGTCCCACAGGCCGAGACCGCCAGACCAACCACTGCTACATCGCCCATCCTCAACATCATCCAGGGAGAGGTGGATCCCACCCAGGTAGGGAGGCCCCTTCATCCCGCACCCTGGACCCACAGGGGTAGAGGAGAGGCCACCTCCACTGCTCCTGTGCCTACCCCAGGTCCACAAGAGCCTGCAGAGGATCCGGGAACGGAAATTGCCAACTTCATCCCATGGGGCCCTGCCAGCATCCGGTGGCCCTGTCGAGGAAGGCTCCTTACCTGCCCTCGGCCCACCGGGTCAGCGGGCTCATGATGGCCAACCACACCAGCATTTCCTCGGTGAGTCTCACAGTTTGCACCTTTTTTC